TAATTAAATTAGAGATATTTTTTCTTAGTAATTATGGATAGTAAGATTTATTCTATAACCTAATAATTCAATTCGCTTATACATTTTATACCGTTTATTTTACTATTAAATTTCTCTGACAAATTTTTTGGCGGATTTGAGATAAAAGCTTTATTTTAGACAGATTGTCATTTTTCTTATATTTTTATATTCTCTACAACCCACCGATATAGTGACATATACTCGACATTGTATTAGAATCGATATACAGATTTCTACGGATAAACAAATCTTGAGATGTCCTTATGATAATTTAATGACTTGCGGCTATAAAAATATATTCATGGCGACTAGGACTTATTAACCATAGTGAAAAAGCTTTGGTGTATTTAGTCTAGTGATGAGCAAGCTTTTCTGTATATGATCCGCGAGTGAACTTCTTCTAGCGAGCCTCGTGGCATTTTTTCTTAAGAGTTGCGGCCTTTAAGCCTGTAGAGTGAATTAAGATACTAAAATAATATTATAATGATATAGGCTACATTATGCAAATTATTAATGTGTAGTTTATTCTCATCTTTTTATTGGCAATTTTTAACGTTCTTCGTCACGAATATCAGCTTAATTAGAATTGCATGACAGCGCAAGACAGAAAACAAGAAAATAAATTTTGCCAATGCCCGAGAAGCCACATACTAGGATCTCGAGGTCTGCGGTGTTCATGACTGATCTAATGTAATCTGATGAAATCCTTCGTATTCATATAATTTTCGGAAATATTTTTATGATCGAGTATGTTTGTCTCTAGTTAGAGAACATTCAATTTTTAATGAGACGAGATACATCTGTCTTTAAAATATTTATAAACTAAAAATTTCTTGAACTCAAAATTACATTAAACAGAGTTCACTTCCATTTGTGGCACTTCATTTCGTATTTATTTACTATCACTTATATACTGTATCATTGCTATATCTATACTTGCAATAGATCAAATCGAAAAATTTGTCAGAACGCATAAAAATTTCTTTGTTGATTTATATTGTACTATTAAATTCGGAAATATTTCAGTTTGTTGAAAAATTTTTCCGAACATTCTTGCCAAGTTTCTGAATGTCATTTTATTTAATTCTTTGTCATATTTTTTTGCTGATAAATTTCATCCGAAAATTTATTTTGAAAATATAAATTTTTAAGCGTTTCTTTTATATAAAAAGTACTGTTTCTGTTTTACCCATTTCTAGGAAATTCGAAGCAACTTCAAAACAAAAATCGACGATGCCAATATTTATTTATTTTTATTTTATTTATTTATTACAATCACATCAGGAAAAGTCTTACGGCAATAGATTTCCTGTCCCCTAATTAATATTTAAACCCCAAATAAATTACATAAAAATAACAAAAACAATAATTGACGAATAAATTAATAAAAAAAATGCTTCTGCGCTACGAATTGCTATGAAATTAAGTATTTTTTCTAGCTTTTTCTATTGTTTCAGGAACTGATGCAATTTTTCCTTGTATAGACTACTGTTATCTACGAAATCTCTGGAATCATTTATATTTATTTTGAACTTCAAAACATTATTTAATCATATTTTTTTCACCTTCCATTCACGGTGAAGTTAATTTTTCACAAGGTCAAGCGAATTCATCTAATAAATCAAGTAATTCAACAAAAAAACAGTCATTTAAAAATAAATACCAGTATAAGTTTACTATATTTTCGAACACTTTTTATTCATTTAAGAGGAAAAGATTAAGAAAAGTTTCCTAAATTTAATTTCGTAATGAAATATAAAAGTATTATGTGTGATCGTTTGGTAATTGTTTTAAAAACATAGAAATTGTAGCTTTTAATATGCAAAACGCTTTATCTATCCATTCATCAAAAATTTTAATAATCGGCTCGCTAAATCTTAAAAATTATAACAACCGGTTCTCATTGCTGTTCAACACGCCATGTGCAACAGGTGCAGAGGCACAGAGCCAAAATTTTCATTTCAAATTTTGACTTTTGCTGCTGTGGAGCCGATTCTGTAGCATTTTTGATTAAACTTACAATGGTCAGTTAATTTTTGTTTTATTTTTTCCAAAAAGCGAGGCCAAATTTAAAATTTTCACTGGCATATGAAAAGCTGTTACGGCATTTTCTTTTAATTAATGCCCAAATGGCGGAAAGAGAAAAATGAAAAAAAAAAGAAAATATATATTTTATCCTGTAGCATAAATGGCACTTATCCAATCAGATAAATTTTGTAAAAGGAAGTAACTTCGATATTCGAAAATTTATTTATATTTCTAAAATTACTATTTCAACATTCTTAATATTAACGCTGATTTAGTACAGTCGACCCCCCATAATACTGTTGATAATTCCGTTTTATATGAATTCCATGTTGTACAAGTCACTTAGATTTTACAAATACGTGTGTCGGGCTGTGATCGGCTCACGTATTTGTAAAATCTAAGTGACTCGTACAACATGGAATCCATATAAAACGGAATTATCAACAGTGTTATAAGGGGGTCGACTGTAATTCATATCCACATTACCAAATGAATGAAAACCAAAAGAATTGTCCTAAGAGCAGATTCAAATTAACATATCTTTAAGTCTTGCATGTTAACGAATTTCAGAATTCCTTGAATGTTCCACTTAAAATTTATATAATAATTTAAATTCCATTTATAATTATTTCTACTTTGGATTTCTTACGCTCAGAGGCCCCAGCCTCCACGTTAGAAGCAGTTAGATTTTCGTTACACGATATGCCAATGGTTAAAAGTAATTATAATTAGGATAAACGGCACAGTTATTGACCACTTAAGTAAATTTTTATTTTAAAAATTCTATGACAACAGATTAAATCGGGAAACATTATACTTACCGAGGAATTATTACTTTTTTTAATTGCCTTTCTACAACTAGAAATTACAAACGCCAATCGTTTAATCCAAAATGTACCTTGTTTTAAGAAAATTCAAAATTTTTATAGTTATTGGCCATAATAGAAAAATCTGCGGGAATTTTTGCTACCTACTGATAACAGAAATTTGTATTAATACTGCCATGCAATATTTCCAGAATAGCTTTCATAGAACTCTTTATTAAAGAGGCTTAAATTCGAAATGACCAATAAGTCTGCCCTATCGTTTTAAATTAAAATATTCTAGCTCAAATATAATTAAACTAGTCCAGAAAAAATTTAACTGAAAACCTGCATTGAGTAAAATTCAACTGTCTAAAATTCTAAATCATTGTTTTCCTTTATTTTATAGTCATAAATTTCTCGATTAAATCTGAATAAATATCTGCTATGATTGGCGTACGATTTTCAGATCTAAAAATTACTTTTGAGAAAATAATTAGCGTTGTTATGATTATGAAAAGAACATATGAGTAGTATATATATACTGTATTATACTTTACAAAAATAAATTGGGCTCAGCAACAACGTGTTTTCGCTATTGCGAATACACGTTTGTTGCTGAGATATTTATAAAAATAATTTTTGATATGTTAGATTTGTTTATATCAGTTTTAACATTTTTATCGGTATTCTATCATAATAACAATTAAAATAGGGTCTAAGTCTCTTTTTATTATCTGTTTGATCGAACTTAGACGAAACTCGATACACCTTTATGCTGAACTGATAAACTTCAAGTCTATCATATTGATATAAATTTTTATTTTTTTCTTAAATAAAAATTTAATTATTTAGAGAAGTTTTTTATGAGTTACGCTATTTATTGATATCTTTAAAATGAAAATTCATCTGATATTAAATATTTGAAATTACCATATTAATTAAAACCAAAATGGGAGAGCATTTATTGAAACGGTTAGCGCTAATCATGAAATAAATATTGATCTCTAACATATAGGAATATGGGCATTCTATATAAAGAATTCTCTTCAAACAGTCAGTTAACTTCGCTAACATTTTAAACATATAGATTAAATTTAAACATCTTTAATTGAAGAAAGAAAAAAAAAACCCGATTAGTATATTCTATTTAAAATTTTTAATCCTTAAAATTTCGATTAAAATGTCGATCTTCTTCCAGTTTCGTCTGAGGTACTTTACAAGTTGTCTAAAGATCTATGTATTTTTTCCCAAGTTCTATATAATCCGTCTAAATATAAACTACAAATATCGTTGTTTATTTAAGAATTTAATAATAATATTTTCTTATTTCCTGTGGTTCAATTTACTCCATTTTACTTTAATAACAAAAGCATTCTCTTGATTACAATAATGTTTTACTTTTAAAATGTAAACTTATTTTTGCGAATGTTTAGTCATTTATACATTTAAAATAGAATTATGGATGAAAATGAAAAGATCGACCCAAATTTTAAATGAAAACCGAGGATTTGCAAATACCGCAATGATTTCATAAGGTTGGATTTTAGCAAAATGGTGTCGTACTTTATCTAAATATCAAATAAAATTGTGATTTGCGTTTTTGTCCAACAGAATGCATGCAATATCAAAATTATAACGAATTTTCGTTATTCATTACATAACATTTTAAGTAAGCAAAATTCTTCCCCAGAAAAAATATTAAATAATTCGAAACTGGCATTCATTTTTATTTTCTAATCATTTTCCTCATAGCTAGCTGCGGTCGAATATATATATATATGATTATAATAATTATATATACATACATTATAATTTTTATATAATTATTTTCCCTCGAAAGCTTAATTTAGCTTTTGAAGAAAAAGTAATTAACGATTAAAAAAATCAAGTCAGATTTCATTAGCGATAAATAAAATCCAAGATGGCCGCGGCGCGAAATATACAAACGCCAGTTTCTCTGTATAAGTTCCTACTAAAGCAATGCAGACGGTTACCAAAATCAAAACAAGAATTTTATAAACATCAAATTCGACAGGTAAGACGGAATAATTGTCAGTTCGTTTTAAACACTTCGCGATCATAACAAGCGCATTACACCTAGATACATGTGTTATCTTTATGTATACGAACAGAAAAAATATTTACCTGTTTAGGTTGTGTAAGATACTCTGTCGAGTTCTACTTGTCTACTGCACTCGTTAAGTTGCAACCTGTTAGTTATAATGGTCGTTGTTAACCTACATTTATTTCCCTCGTCACTGCACGTGATTGACAATGTGTGTTTTACTCCACCAATTATATTACAGGATGAAATATGATTATGATGTTGATAATAACTTGTTTAGTTGAACTGTAAATATTCCACCATCAATAATTTAAGCATACGTGCTTTTTAATATTTTTGCATTGCAAACATCATTTAATGTTAGGAAAGAATATATTAGAATATATATTAATACATTCTTTACTATCAGCCAACTGTATATACATTACTGTATATACCTTACAAAATTCTTTGCAGTTTAATAACTTTTTTAATTGAATATTTATGTTATGAAAATAGATAATATATTGGAGAAAAGTTTACATAATATATAGTTCTTTTAAATAAAATTTTGAAATATGTTTATCAGTTTAAATAATAATAAATTTATATTTTGTCTGCTGACTTTATAGGAAAAATTGCTATGAATGCTTTATTATTCATTAAATTATTTATTGTTCTTATAACATTGATATTTTATATATTCTACATATAAATAAGAAGAAGTTAAACAATATATATTACAGTACTTCATTTCTAGAAGAAAATGTAAAGGAAAATATTTCAAATAATGGTTTTTGTTTCTTTAAAAAAATGTTAATTCTTTTTTATAAATTATAACATATTTTCTGCATTTCAACTTTTAATGTTTTTACATATTTTCATATAACTGTTAGAAATATAATTATCAATAATAATAATAATATATTGTATAGGACATTAAGAAAAAATTGTGGCTATAATTTCCTCTTAAATTAACGAATGAATATGTCTGAAAGGAATAGGTCTGCTATAAGGAGTCAATAAAGAAGGAAATTGTTAAACAATTAACAAGTTAGGAAATTTATTCATTTTATATTTATTTTTGTGATGGCTGAAAACTGAGCAGCAAAAAATCAATTAATTAAAAGTTCTACTAACCTTGAGGGACAACTGAAAAATAACCTTTATTACAACCAAATAAATATTTTTCTAGTTTATTAAGTTTTATTTCTAATTTAAATTCATCATATATTCAAATTTTCATAGATTAAGGAAAGTGATATACATAGTGATAAATTTAATTTGTTTTTATAATTTTTATTTTTATTGTATGTACACCTTTGATGCTTTGTAGACTAAAAAAGAATAGATATTTTTAAAATTACCTCTTAATATAAAGTATATTTTGAAGTTTAATTATATAGTATTTCATTTTTTTTTAAAATATTTTCAGGTGTTTAATCAAATGAATGTCTGAGTTTTAACTATTTAGTCTTGTTAATTAAACATTATTTATTTAATATGACACTTTTAAAGTTTATAATAAACAATATTTCATCAATAAATCTTCTGAAGAATTGATACTGTTATTAATTGGATTGATCAATCAACTTAGTCTGAAGCACTACTATGCAATCTTTGTATCCATTCAGAAATCATTCATAAACTGTCCCATCACCCTCCACATACACCCACTTGCAAAATTATGTAACATATATCCTTGATCAATCACTTAAATGTATTAAGAAGTAATATATAGCTTGAGGTTCAAAACATTGTTATTTTTTAAATTAAATCTATATATCCAGGGTGGCCAAGCTCCTTGGTAGACCGAGCCATTTTTCAAAATTTGAAATTTTTCGCGAGCCACAATTAAATACGCATTAAAAAGGTATGCAAAAAATTCCAGATTACAAATTATATCCGTAGCAAGAGTGATACAAATTGTTTCCTCCAGAGCACAATGTCAACTGTCCGTTGCAATGACAGTTTACAAATTCAAAATCGGTCTGGAGTCGGTCGATAACGGACGATTACGCCACTGTTTATGTTCGTTCGCGCAGTTTTCGATGAGTCATGTCATTCTTAACTTGGACGGAAATGAAATTTGTTACAACGTTGCACTTAGTCTTTCATATTTGTTGTTAGTAATTTAAAAGACATTTTGAAACACATACGGAACGATAATAATTTTTTAAAATATAATAACACAAAAATGAAAAGGGAACTCGGGTACATTTATCAAGAGCCACAAATAATCCTTCAAAGAGCCGCATGTGGCTCGCCAGCCGCAGGTTGGCCACCCCTGGCATAGAACGTGCAAAGTGCTGTAGAAACTTTACATCACATTTCCGGCTATAGGTTCCTTATATCAAAACGTTCAGAATTTCATCCTCTACAATCCCCCAAATTTTTAAAACGTCATTCTGATACACTCTGTATATTAGAGTGGTCCTTGTTATAAGAGCTAAAAACAAAAGTTGTAGTTTGCATAGAGGCACTTGCTTAAACTGTTCACATCCAGATNTTTAAAAGACATTTTGAAACACATACGGAACGATAATAATTTTTTAAAATATAATAACACAAAAATGAAAAGGGAACTCAGGTACATTTATCGAGAGCCACAAATAATCCTTCAAAGAGCCGCATGTGGCTCGCGAGCCGCAGGTTGGCCACCCCTGCTATATATATAAAACAGTGAAATAAATAGTACAGTTTGCTACATAACACTTCAGAAACAAAAATGAATCATTCTGTTACTGAAGATCCTAGCATTATATAATGTTTGTAAATACCCCCACTCCTTTGCATTGCAATGATTGCTTGCATACCCACCTACCATATCTGCACTATGTAATTTATGGACAGGCCCAAAGAGTGATCTAATATTTTACTATTATTTCTTTTTCCAGAGCTTTGATTCTCTTAAATTTTCAAAGTTTTCTTAATTTTTTTATCTAGAATATTTGGAATTACTGGTTAATTTGTTACTTATGTATAAACATTATATAAACAACATATAAAATCAAAGTGTTTTATCACATATGAATATGCCACAAGAATTCATTCTATTTAGTTTTTACATTAGTGACATGTTTAATTGTTAAAAATACTTTAAAAATATGATTATTATACTTTATTTTTTCTGTTTTAAACAATATGTCACTAACATAAATTATTTTCATCAGTTAAATTAAATATATGTAAAAATTGTGATTTATATTATAAATTATAATAAATGTTTTGTTTTCTGATTATTAAATATCAATTATAAACAAAATTTTCATTATTTAATTGGAATTTTCAAAAAATATTTTGGAGCATAAAGATAGAATCTTTGAATAGATAGATAACAAACTAAAATGGATTTAGCATATTAATTTAAAAACAAAAATTTCTAAATATTTGGATATTTTTAACTGAAAAGATGCTTACTTAATAAGGAATTCATTTTAATTTATTTTTTTGTATAATTTTATGGTCAGCAGTTGGTCAAAATCAATAGTTGGTAGTTTGATTAAATACAGTGGGTGATCAGTTAACGAACATAATGTGTTCCCAGACTTTGTTCATTATCCGAATTGTTCGTTAACCGATTATCGATTTACCATAAGTTTTTATGGGAATTTGATTAATTCGTTCTGGAGACCCCAAAAAAAATAAAAAATATATACTTTCTTACTATGTTTATTCATATGTAATAATAAAAATACATATATACATGGTCTTGCATTTTTATTAGTCATGTTTTTTCCCTTTGTGGGGGTTAAAGAATCTGTCCAATGTCGATTGCTTTTCTGTCTTCATGATTTTTCAGAAGTAATTAATAGCATTGTAATTGTAGAGATCCCTAGAACTATTAACCTCAACTTGGTTTGGATGCCATTTTAAGACCGTTGTTCTGACATCCTCCCACTTCAAAAGATCTTTAATAGCAGATATCAGCATAAATCCACTTTTTCTGAAGAAAACATAAAAGAATTGTTTCTGTCAGAAATATAAAAGGCTGGAATTACAAGGGAGAGTTTCAAAGTTCAGGGGAATACTATCCGATCAGTATATACTGGGTTGAACATTGATGTCGATGTCTCCTGCGCTCTGAAAAGTTTCAAATTGTTGCCTGAAGACAAAGGAAGACCAATTGGTATTCGTTATTTTATGTCGCTTCTTCTTGTGTTTGTTCAGTGAAGTGTTCGTTATCTGAACATGGGTTCGTTGTCTGATCATAAAAATCTTTTGCAAAAGTGTTCGTTAACCAATCACCTACTGTATATCCACAACTGAAGCATGTAGGGATTAACACAGAGATTGCTCAGAAAATGAAAGGAAAGTTTTATTTAATTTACCTCATTTTACAATAAATGCTTAATTAAAGGAGCGACAACTAACAGTAATATATGCATGCAGCACTGGTGGTTACATTTTCAAAGATGGCAGGTATTTCTCAAACGGTTGTAGCAGCAACAGAAAGTCTGGTGACGAGGTCCCCAATGAAGTTAATTTAAGTCCCATACATGTGACCATTATATTTGTATATGTAAGTCTCATGCGAGCAGTCACATATGAGAATGAATGGGTTCAGGATAGAGGAGGGAGTCAGAAACAGTGCACCGGAAATAACATGCTCAATTTGATCAAATGTATAAGAATTTTACAAGGGAATAGAATTATTGAAAGAGCCTATTCCTAAAAGCGTGCCAAACTGAGAGAGAATGTTTACAATTTTTTATGCAAGTTGATAAATACCTGGATAGTTAGTAGTAGTGATCATTGGCATCTCAATGAGGGAAGGCTTGTCCAGATGAGTCTTGATTCAAGGGTAAAGTTCAGTTAGTTGTTCATCAAGGGGAGTGGTGAAAGTCCAGTAGAAAAAATATGATGGGTGTTTGGGAAGAGTGGCAGTTGAGGACAATGAGGCGGTTAACACACAAAAATTAGGCAGGCAAACTCTGACTCACCATCTGTCCTCTTGCTTTTTATTGAGTAAAGTTGGCAGTTGCTCCAATTTGTGATATATACATATATATATATATTTATTTATTATTTTTTTTACCTTGATGAATAGTTTTTTCAGAAGCTGTGTCCCCCATGAAGGAAGTGTTATCAGTGAGAAAATCTTATGAAGTTTCTTCACTGCTTTTGTGAAATGAAATAATAATCGAATTTATACTAGCCCAAGTTCTCACATACATAATTTGAAGGATCTCATCACTCTTGCAACTGTTTGAAAAATACCTGGCATCTTTGAAAATGTATGCCAATCACTGCACTGA